TTCCTCCATGGCCTGTGCTCCAGCTCCTGCCTCCAAGTTCCTGCCCTGAGTTCCTACCTAGGGCTCCCTGATGAACTGTGTACAACCTGGGAGATGTAAGACAAATAAACCCTTTCCTCCCCAGGTTGGTACTGGTCAGAGTGTTTTGTCACAGCAATGAAGAACAAACTAAGACAGACTCTTAATGGATATTGAAAGGATAAAGAGGTCTTGCATTCGCCATGTCATAAGCATTAAGACATTATCACTGTTGGTTTATGAAAGTCCCATAAAGTATTCTGTGGACAGGTGAGGTTCTAATGAAGGCTTTGCTACTAACTACGTATGTGGTAACAAATTTTAGTCTCATATTTCAGTTAAAGAATATATGAAAATGAAGATAAAACCATCTAACTTGTAGAGTTGTTGCAAAGGCTAGGAATCTCACCTGAGTATGAAGACATAAAGTATGTGACACACAATAGGTCTTGAAAATAGATTGCCACAAACCTTTTTCTCAATCTGTTCTTTCCTCCCTCCCTCCATCTTTTCCCTCACTTTCCTTGCTCCTTTTCTTTCAATATAATCTGTAAAATACACAACTTCTCATGCTCTCTGACCTGCAGGCCTCTCTCCAGGACACAGCTCCTCTGTGCAGTCCCCAGGAGCCCTTGGGGCTGCTTCCCACCCCCATCTTCCTTTGCATCTCTGGGTGGCATGGCCACCAGCTGCCCTAGAGCAGCATGTTTCCTGGGACCAGCTCCCAGGCCAGTCCAACCCACAAATTCCTGAGGCCAAAATCTTTCCTGGAGGGATCCAGACCTTAGGAGAAAGCCTGAGAGCATCTGATCCTCATCTGACCTGGGCCTCTGTGGGAACTCCTGAAGACAAAAGCAATCTGGCCACTCCAATATAAAATCAAAAGAGAGAACCAGAAGCTTAGAAGAACCAGCATTTCATGCCCAAAAAGTAAACCACAAAGACACATAAAGTTCACAAAAAGAAGCAGACCTAAACTTGAAGGCTTGAATCTCACACAAGAATCAGAAACTACAAAAGAAATTCACATGTCAAAATCACAGAGAAAAAATAATAATATGAAAAACCAAAATTACATATCCCCACCAAATACCAATAGTCCTCAGAGAGAGTACAATGAGAACCCCCTAGAGATAGTGCAGGACATGGAACTCAAAAGAACAATTATAAACGTGATAAAAGAATTCAGTGAATTTAAAGAACAC